TGTTATATCACTTATACGATAGTTCAATATTCATCTAATTGTTTAGTCCACTTCTCTGTCGACCTCTGGCAATAATTATTCGCTGGTGGTGTTCGACCCATGTATATATTCCATACATTATACACTATGTATTGGGTATTTGTCAGATTGTTGTAATCCACAATTTAAGATCACTATGTCGCTGAACATCAATACTTCGTTGCTCACTATGTCACTCGCTATGTTACTTATGACGAGAAGAGTAACAATCTTTCAGTATACAACAATATGACTCACTGTGTGGAAACACCTTTAGGCCTAGTTCACAACCCACTCCCCTTCTATGAAGAAAGTTGAAAGTGAACAAAGAAAAGAGTATGGTGATGAGGGTATCAAATGATTTAGATAAAGAAAAATTGGATATCAAATTGTGGAGGAGGAGTATGGAAGAAGTGAATGTTTTCAGATACTTGGGAGTTGACGTGTTGGTGCATGGATTTATGAAGGATGAGGTTAATCACAGAATTGATGAGGGAAAAAAGGTGAGTGGAAAAGAAGGGAATGTATGAAAGTATAGTAGTGCCAACACTCTTATACGGGTGTGAAGCTTAGGTTGTGAATGCAGCAGCGAGGAGGCGGTTGGAGGCATTGGAGATGTCCTGTCTAAGGGCAATGTGTGGTGTAAATATTATGCAGAAAATTCGGAGTGTGGAAATTAGGAGAAGGTGTAGAGTTAATAAAAGTATTAGTCAGAGGGCTGAAGAGGGGTTGTTGAGGTGGTTTGGTCATTTAGAGAGAATGGATCAAAGTAGAATGACATGGAGAGCGTATAAATCTGTAGGGGAAGGCAGGCAGGGTAGGGGTCATCCTCGAAAAGATTGGAGGGAGGGGGTAAAGGAAGTTTTATGGGCGAGGGGCTTGGACGTCCAGCAAGCGTGCGTGAGCGTGTTAGATAGGAGTGAATGGAGACAAATGGTATTTGGGACCTGATGAGCTATTGGAGTGTGAGCAGGGTAATATTTAGTGAAGGGATTCAAGGAAACCGGTTATTTTTATATAGCCGGACTTGAGTCCTGGAAATGGGAAGTACAATGCCTGCACTTTAAAGGAGGGGTTTGGGATATTGGCAGTTTGGAGGGATATGTTGTGTATCTTTATACGTATATGCTTCTAAACTGTTGTATTCTGAACACCTCTGCAAAAACAGTGATTATGTGTGAGTGAGGTGAAAGTGTTGAATGATGATGAAAGTATTTTCTTTTTGGGGAATTTCTTTCTTTTTTGGGTTACCCTGCCTTGGTGGGAGACGGCCGACTTGTTAAAAAAAAAAAAAATTATGAATGTTTAAAAAATTTTGTAGGGTACAGTGGAACCTTGGTTTTTGTCATTAATTCATTCCAGAAAGTCTGACGAAAACCGAATTCGACGAAAACTGAAGCAATATTTCCCATAAGAAATAATGTAAATCCAATTAATCTGTTGCAGACACCCAAAAGTATTAAAAAAAAATACAATTTATAAAGAATAACTATAGTTTTGCATACAGAAAACAGTGATAAATAAATATAAAGGACTAATGAAATGGATAAATGAACATTTAATATCACTTTTTACCTTTATTGAAGACTCTTGTTGGCGTATGGAAGAAGCGAGGAGGGGAGAGGGAGGAGGAGAGGTTATTGGTTGGAAGTGGAATCCCCCTTCATAAGGGCTTCAGGTATCAGGTCCCTGTCTGGGGTTACTTCCCTTCTTTGTCTTTTGCTGGCACCTGACCCCTGTTGCACAAAAAATCTGTCCAGAGAGCTCTGTTTTTGGTGTCTCTTTAAGATTTGCCTAAAATGGGACAGGATATTTCTCCACAAAACTTTGCAACTCAGTCCACTTTGCACATATGTCCTTAATCACTGAAGAAGGCTCATTCTTCCCTCTCTCTTCATCCTCCTCTGAAGCAATTTTCTCAGTTGCGATCTATTACTGTTCCGGTTGAAGGTGTTGCAGCTCTTCAGTGGTTAGCTCTTCCTTGTTGTTGTCCACCAACTCTTCCACATCCTGGCCACTCACATCCAACCCCCGTAAATTGCTATGAGTTCTTTCTTGAATTCTGTCGTGTTTCTCGCCTTTTTTATCAAAGGGCTAGCACTCGGAACTTTCTTTGGCTCCATGGTGGCTTATTTAGCAGTCGCACTCAATACACAAGCACAAAAAATAATGGATTATTATGAAATGTTTCGGATGAATGCAAAGGGTAATGCTCACTTGACGAGAAACAGCCAGACTGACTCAGAACGCATGGGATGCTTTGTGTGGGTGTGGGCAGGTGGACATGTTCGGAATGGCGGACTGACGAAAACTGAAGTGATAAATGAAAACTGGGACAAAATTTTGACGAAAAAAGTCATCGAAAACCGAATTCAACGAAAACCAAGGCAAACGAAAACCAAGGTTCCACTGTACAGTGGTACCTTGAGTTTTGAACAGCCCCTAACTCAAGCAGTTATGTAAATGTATTTTTGTAAGTGTATTTTTTGGGGTCTGAAACAGACTAATCTAATTTACATTATTCCTTATGGGAACAAATTCGGTCAGCATCGGCACTCGAACAGCCTTCTGGAATGAATTAAGTTTGTAACTCAAGGTACCACTGTTTTATCATTCCAGTTTGGAAGTGATCATTCTAAATTGCTTAAACATATTAAAAAATGTATAAAATAAAAATTTAAATGGGCATGTTAAAAAACAGTCCCAGTTTATACCGGTCGTATCCCACTGAAGCAGGATGGACCAAAAAGAAAAACAAAAGTTTTTCTTTTTAACATTTGTAATGTATACAGGAGAAGGGGTTACTAACCCCCTTGCTCCCTGCATTTTAGCCTCCTTTTATGACATGCATGGCTTAAAGAGGAAGAATTCTGTTCCACTTCCCCATGGAGGTAAGAGGAAATGAACAAGAACTATTAAGAAAATAGAAGAAAACCCAGAGGGGTGTGTGTATATATATGCTTGTTCATGCATGTGTAATGTGACCTAAGTGTAAGTAGAAGTAGCGAGATGTACCTGAAATCTTCCATGTATCTGAGACAGAAAAAAAGACATCAGCACTACTACCATCTTGTAAAACAGTTACAGGCTTTCGTTTTACACTCGCTTGGCAGGATGGTAGTACCTCCCAATTTAAACTCATGTACCATTTATTATCAGGTATAAGTCAAGTTTTTATTATTAAAATATTCCCAAAGTTATACTCTACCATCATGAAAGTGCTTAACACACACACACACACACAAAAAAAAAAATGAAAATTGTTTTAAATGATGCCAACAATTCATGTGGGAAAAGTTACTGGAGAGTACATATCTAGATATATAAATGGCACTGCAGTATCTATTATATTTGAAGGGTTGCAGTAATGATGTAAATTTTAAAATTAAATTACCAGTTCAGTAATATCACATTGCTACTGTCTTAACTTGCATGGACATGACCAGATCCTGTAACTCAGTGGTGATTCTGGTGATTCAAAGGATATAAAAACACTGTGATGACTGCTGATGCAGGAAACTGCTGATTTAGTCTCGTCTGTTCAGTCTTGTGACTCCTGCGGTGATAAAGGTAGAAAGTTGAAAGTGAACAGAGATAAGAGTAAGGTGTTGAGGGTATCAAACATTTTAGATAAAGAAAAATTGGATAGCACATTGGAGGGAGGGAGTATGGAAGAAGTGAATGCCTTCATATTTGGGAGTTGACTTCTCAGCGGATGGGTTTATGAAGGATGAGGTTAACCACAGAATTGATGAAGGAAAAAAAGCTAAGTGGTGTGTTGAGGTATCTGTGGAGACAAAAAACGTTATCCATGGAGGCAAAGAAGGGAATGTACGAAATTGTAGTGGTACCAACACTTTTATATGGGTGTGAAGCATGGGTTGTAAATGCTGCAGCGGGAGGTGGCTGGAGGCAGTGGAGATGTCCTGTCTAAGGGCAATGTGTGGTGTAAATATTTTGTAGAGAATTCATAGTGTGGAAATTAGGAGGTGTGGAGTAACTAAAAGTATTAGTCAGAGGGCTGAAGAGGGGATGTTGAGGTGGTTTAGTCATTTAGAGAGAATGGAACTAAGTAGATTGACTTGAAGAGTGTATAAATTTGTAGGGGAAGGAAGACTAGGTAGGGGTCGTCTCTGAAAAGGTTGGAGGGAGGGGATAAAGGAGGTTTTGTGGGCAAGGGGCTTGGACTTCCAGCAAATGTGCTTGAGAATGGTTTTTAGGACTTGACGAGCTATTGGAGTGTGAGCAGGGTAATATTTTGTGAAGAGATTCAAGGAAACTGGTTAGCTAGACTTGAGTCCTGGAAATGGGAAGTACAGTGCCTGCACTTTAAAGGAAGGGTTTGGGATATTGGCAGTTTGGAGGAACGTCTAAGCTGTCATATCTGAGCGCCTCTTCAAAGACAGTGATTATGTTTGAGTGATGGTGAAAGTGTTGTATGATGATGAAAGTTTTTCTTTCTTTTTTTTTTTTTTTTTTTTTTTTTCCTTCTTTTTGGGTCACCTTGCCTCAGTGGGAGACAGCCGACCTGTTATAAAAAAAATCAGCATTATCAACAATTTTCTTGGAAGATATGGAAACACTGCATATATTAATAACAGCTGTTGCAGAAATTAACCTGATTTTCTAGCATTTGTTAGGACCTAAGTTATGCCTCCAGCTTATGCCTGGGAATGTGTGAATATCTTGTTGTATGTCCTGAGTCATCTTATGTTCTGTAATATACAGTACCTATAACATTATGTGGGATCAGATAATATCTAGTGATTTCAGCAAAGCTCCACTAATTTAATAGATATTCAGAGAAAGAATGTATTGAATGGGTTTTGTTTTTTCCTTAATCCTGTTTTTTTTTTTTTCCTTTAATATTTTTGTTTGTTCATCTCACAAAGCTTCCTGTTTAACTACAGCTCCTTGATCTTCTTGACAGTTTGTTGTATTGTGGTTTCTTTACTAAAATTTCAATATCACTATTTCCTCAGGAACAGCAGCGAGAAGAATACATTCAGCAGCTCATTCCAAGTCCTTCATCTATTCCACGGATAAAAGTTAAAATCTTGGGTCATTCGGGGGCAGGAAAGACAGCTCTTGTTGAAACACTTAAGACGGTTACTTCTCTTCTTTCTTCCGCAGGAGTAAAAGTACCATATCAACCACATCCATCGGATCTACTGGAAAAAGTAGGTTATTGAGAAATTCATTCTTAAGTGGGAATATGCCTTTTTCCATAAAACGTTTTTCAGTTATGTGCTTTCCCTGGGGAAATTTATTTATAATAATGAAATGGAAGTGTTATGCTGTTTAGTACTAAAATTATGCACTCAGAACAATTATGAACACTATTACTTGCCAGGAAAAATGTGTTCAGCTTATCTTCTTAATATTGCTACCAGAGAAAGAATATAGTATTGTATTGTGGATGGCACTGCTGTATTTAATACTTGGCTTCATTAGAGCTTGTGTAATGATCCCTGCCAGTTGGCTGTGAATATATTTGTAGAGGTCCTAGTTCAAGGGCGGGCAACCTTTTTAAGTGTGTGATAAATTTGGCCAAATCTTTGATACAAAATCTTCTCATGTGCCAACTAAAATTTAAGGGAACATATTATGTGGTGTCTTTTTAAGTATTGTGATAAAATCTTCAGATACGTGTAATCAAAAATCACACCGTATCGGTAAAATCAGAGAATATTGTAAGAATGATTTTGTAAACCATGATATAGAATGAATGGAAAATATTGACGGAATTTTTACTTAAAGGTCACTCGTCCCTGTTGATAGCGTGAATAATTTTTAACAGCCTTTAAATGTATTTCTAGCAGCGATATAAATCCACACAATATAACCCTTTCAGGGTCCATGCTGTAGTTCTACGGCTTTGAGTTGAGGGTCCAAACCGTAAATCTATGCCATGAGCTCAGCTCACTTTGATAAGCTGTGAGCAGTAAATTTGGGCCTAGATATGGAAGAATACATCTATGTGGTATGTGTGCACCACATAAAACAAATCCTGCAGCACACAGTGCAGAACATCACTCCATCTGAGATCATACATACCCAGGATGACTCGAGTATGGAACACATTCGTACAGCATAATGATGTCAACGAGGTAAAGTCAGTTGATCAAATGAAAATGCTGGCCCACAGATGGCTCTAACTTCATCCTGTTCCCTACTTGTATGTCTCATAACAATAAAAATGCTTTCAAATGAGCTGATGTAGGTAACAGCTCTTAGCTTGTCAATAAAGCTAGGGATCCTTAACCTTGTCAAACCCTGTGTAAAAAAAAAAAAAAAATTGAGAGAAAAAACTGCGACCGTAATTTTCGATTAAAACAGCAACTTTGCCATGTTTTTTCGTATGTTTTTTATAGTTGTATTTGTGATTTCTTGGGTTCATTTGATAGAGTGGAAGATATACTACAGAAGTAGAGATGATTTTGATTGGTTTTAGTACTGGAAATGGCTTGAAACTGAGCTCAAAATAGCGGAAATGTTAAATTTTTGCCGATGTTTAAGAGTAAATAAATGACCTCGCATATCGAATACACGCCAGCTGGTGGGTCTAATATATATTCACAAATGTGGTGATATTATTTATACAATTATTACAATATTGCATAACAGTAAAAACTTCTATTTTTTGGTTTGAATAAAAATTCATTATGTGAATAAAAAATCCAAATGGAATTCATTTGTAAAGCCTGAAAATGTAACTCGTGAACAGAGAAAATGTTAGTTTAGTGTCAGTAATGCCTGCATTGTTTATTCTGGACCCTATTTTGAACTTTGCATTAAATTGGCCAAATTACCAATTTCTGATCACTTTATTTTGTAGTTGAAACAGTTCACTTGGCGATTTCTTGTGCTCAATTGATAGAATAAAAGTAATGCTAGTGAAATAGCTAAGAATTTGGTCGACTGGAATAATGTAATTGGCCTAAAATAGGAGTCAAAGTTGGCAAAATCGCTGATGCGTAAATATCTTGACACATCAAAATTTGCAAGAGCATAATTTTGTCAATTTTCCATCAAATATCATACTTTTTGTTTTATTACATTCAGAAAAAGATTCTCTACCATTTCATAAGAAAAAATAACATTTTTTTTAAATTCTTGGCCCTTGGTGCACACTTTGAAATTTGGCCTCTGGACCCTGAAAGAGTTAAAAATGCTATTTTTAGCATTAGCAAAAGAGTAAACAATAATTTGATTTATTTATTAGATCAATTAGGTTTTTCATGTTTTTCCACTACATTACAATTCTCAGTGACTTAATAATTTTACTTGACTAAAACACAACAAAAGGATATAAAATTAAAGGTGTTCTCTTATTGATTTTTAATCCCTTAAGAATGATACATAAAAATCACAGAAAAATATGTATAATTATTCCCTACAAAACAAATATTTTTTTTTTTTTTTTTTTTTTATTACACATGGCCGATTCCCCCAAGGGGGGGGCCCCGAAAAAAAAAAAACTTTCCCATCATTCACCCCATCACTGTCTTGCCAAAAGGGTGCTTTACACTACGTTTTTAAAACTGAAAACATTAACACCCCCCCTTCGAGGGACTGTATTTCCCCCATTCCAGGACTCAAGTCCGGCCTGCCGGTTTCTCTGAACCCCTTTCAAAATGTTACTTTGCTCACACTCCAACAGCGTCAAGTATTAAAAACCATTTGTCTCAATTCACTCCTATCAAACACGCTCACGCATGCCTGCTGGAAGTCCAAGCCCCTCGCACACAAAACCTCCTTTACCCCCTCCCTCCAACCCTTCCTAGGCCGACCCTACCCGCCTTCCTTCCACTACAGACTGATACACTCTTGAAGTTATTCTGTTTCGCTCCATTCTCTCTACATGTCCGAACCACCTCAACAACCTTCCTCAGCCCTCTGGACAACAGTTTTGGTAATCCCGCACCTCCTCCTAACTTCCAAACTACGAATTTCTCTGCATTATATTCACACCACACATTGCCCCAGACATGACATCTCCACTGCCTCCAGCCTTCTCCTCGCTGCAACATTCATCACCCATGCTTCACACCCATATAAGAGCTTTGGGTAAAACTATACTCTCATACATTCCCCTCTTTGCCTCCAAGGACAAAGTTCTCTGTCTCCACAGACTCCTAAGTGCACCACTCACTCTTTTTCCCTCATCAATTCTATGATTCACCTCATCTTTCATAGACCCATCCGCTGACATGTCCACTCCAATATCTGAATACGTTCACCTCCTCCATACTCTCTCCCTCCAATCTGATATTCAATCTTTCATCACCTAATCTTTTTGTTATCCTCATAACCTTACTCTTTCCTGTATTCACCTTTAATTTTCTTCTTTTGCACACCCTACCAAATTCATCCACCAATCTCTGCAGCTTCTCTTCAGAATCTCCCAAGAGCACAGTGTCATCACAAAGAGCAGCTGTGACAACTCCCACCCTGTGTGTGATTCTTTATCTTTTAACTCCACGCCTCTTGCCAAGACCCTCGCATTTACTTCTCTTACAACCCCATCTATAAATATATTAAACAACCACGGTGACATCACACATCCTTGTCTGAGGCCTACTTTTACTGGGAAAAAATTTCCCTCTTTTCTACATACTCTAACTTGAGCCTCACTATCCTCTTAAAAACTCTTCACTGCTTTCAGTAACCTACCTCCTACACCATACACTTGCAACATCTGCCACATGCCCCCTATCCACCCTGTCATACGCCTTTTCCAAATCCATAAATGCCACAGAGACCTCTTTAGCCTTATCTAAATACTGTTCACTTATATGTTTCACTGTAAACACCTGGTCCACACACACCCCTACCCTTTTCCCAAAGCTCCTTGTTCATCTGCTATCCTATTCTCCGTCTTACTCTTAATTCTTTCAATTATAACTCTACCATACACTTTACCCGGTACACTCAACAGACTTATCCCCTATAATTTTTGCACTCTCTTTTATCCCCTTTGCCTTTATACAAAGGAACTATACATGCTCTCTGCCAATCCCTAGGTACCTTACCCTCTTCCATACATTTATTAAATAATTGCACCAACCACTCCAAAACTATATCCCCACCTGCTTTTAACATTTCTATCTTTATCCCATCAATCCCGGCTGCCTTACCCCCTTTCATTTTACCTACTGCCTCACGAACTTCCCCCACACTCACAACTCGCTCTTCCTCACTCCTACAAGATGTTATTCCTCCTTGCCCTATACACGAAATCACAGCTTCCCTATCTTCATCAACATTTAACAATTCCTCAAAATATTCCCTCCATCTTCCCATACCTCTAACTCTCCATTTAATAACTCTCCTCTCCTATTTTTTAACTGACAAATCCATTTGTTCTCTAGGCTTCTTAACTTGTTAATCTCACTCCAAAACTTTTTCTTATTTTCAACAAAATTTGTTGATAACAGCTCACCCACTCTCTCATTTGCTCTCTTTTTACATTGCTTCACCACTCTCTTAACCTCTCTCTTTTTCTCCATATACTCTTCCCTCCTTGCATCACTTTCTACTTTGTAAAAACTTCTCATATGCTAACTTTTTCTCCCTTACTACTTTTTACATCATCATTCCACCAATCGCTCCTTTCCCTCCTGACCCCACTTTCCTGTAACCACAAACTTCTGCTGAACACTCTAACACTACATTTTTAAACCTACCCCATTCCTCTTCGACCCCATTGCCTATGCTCTCATTAGCCCATCTATCCTCCAATAGCTGTTTATATCTTACCCTAACTGCCTCCTCTTTTAGTTTATAAACCTTCACCTCTTCTTCCCTGATGCTTCTTTCCTTGTATCCCATCTACCTTTTACTCTCAGTGTAGCTACAACTAGAAAGTGATCTGATATATCTGTGGCCCCTCGATAAACTGTACATCCTGAAGTCTACTCAACAGTCTTTTATCTCTAAAAATTTAATCCAAAAAACTACTGTCTTTTCGCCCTACATCATATCGTGTATACTTTATTTATCCTCTTTTTCCTAAAAATATGTATTACCTAAAAACTAAACCCCTTTCTATACAAAGTTCAATCAAAGGGCTCCCATTATCATTTACACCTGGCACCCCAAACTTACCTACCACACCCTCTCTAAAATTTTTCTCCTACTTAGCATTCAGGTCCCCTACCACAATTACTCTCTCACT